AAATAACGTTAGTACAGTTCAGTGAAAAATCAAATCAGATACTAAAATTCTAGCTAAATCAATTAATAGTTATAAAAATTTGATTTTCTCAATTAAATATTGAAATATCAAAATTCAATTTATGCATGTTTAATGTTTAATCGTTATTAAACTTTTTAATTGAACTTTAAATTCTTTGATAATAAACGTCACTAGAGGCAATTATTCCGCTATCTTTAATAGCAAAAAAATTAAAAATCATATGTATTTACAATTTTGATGACGAATGTAAAATACGTGGTCATATGATTCTGCAGTCCCATGGGTCTGCAGAATCATGTGATCTTTTGGATTAAATAACGATATTAACACTTAAGAAAAATACTCGAAAAATTTTCGGATCTAATTTATTTAATCAATATGGTAATAATTTTTTTAATAATGATTTTAGAACAGTTTTCTAAAACATCCAAACTCGCTATTATCACGGAAAATGAATTTTACTATAACTCCTAAATTATTACCCTTCTTATATAAACGGCAGATTTTTATTCGCAAAAAGTCATTTGAATCGATCTTGTGTGTAACTACTTCCAGATAGCTGAAGAAGAATTCTGGTAAAAATATTAATTATTACTATTTGTAATAAAGCATTTAAATAGCATTAATATCTACACAATTTATTCTTATAAGAAAGCTAGAATTATAAAAAAATTACAATCATCTTCATATTCGATTGTAAATATTATCGTTATGTCAAACATATTACAAATTGAGGTGACATTTACTTGGAGAAACTTCAAAAAATGCGGTAAAAAAGGCCATAATATAAGAACTTGTAATCGAAAACATAGGCAGAATGAAAATTAATTTACAATGCTTAATAGAAAATTCCATTGCATTCATATAAATGATGTTCTGCCTTTATATTATACATCTAAAAATGTTTTGTTAATTCAATGTAATGATTTTTTTTTTAATTTGTATAATTAAATCAAGAAGGAAATTATAAAGATTCCTGATGTATATCTGATGCAATTGACAATAGTGAAACCGATGACAAATATATTAAATATGTCTCTATCAACTATTTATCAAATTATTATGAAAGGGGCTTCATGTTAAAAAGGATAAAAAAAAAGGCTTTACTATTAAAGAATAAATTTCAAAAGGAATATGAAAATACGCCTAATATTGGAAGAGCATAGAGAGAGAGGAAAAAGAACATGACGGATACTATAAAATATAAAATTTTGATTCAATTAATCTTAACGATTCATAAATTATTTTGTTTATCACACATACGTTCCGCATACGTTGAAAAAATTGCCACAAAGATATAAATAACAGATAAAGGTTTCTTAAAATTTATATAGTTGCAAAACGCTAATATTTACGTGGCAAGTTGATACATCATATTATTAGAGGGTATTAATTACTACCACCTTTTTAAACTAAGAAGCTATAATTACTGTATAGATGTCAATCGATTTTTTTTAGATATTTGTTAATTTCTATAAAAACATATACCATATTTTCGCGTAATAACACTCATGAGCGTTATTTCGAAAATCGTACCCAAAATATTATTTATATAGTTTCAAATTAATGCCCATGTGCGTCTTAAAATGGCGCGCACTCCATAGTAAGGGTTATTTATTTATAGTAGGATTTAAAAAATACACCGGAACTGGATTTTGTACTAAGTAAACCTTCCTCTGAGCTTAACTAAAGTTGTTCTAAAGAACAACTTTAGTTAAGCTCAGAGGAAGGTTTACTTAGTACAAAATCCAGGTGAGCGATATTACGCGAAAATACGGTAAAGAAAAAGCGGTAAAACATAATCATTATTATTTTCAATTTATCATTCTTTTCATATATTAACCACATATATATCATAAGTAAAAAGGAATGCGATGCAAAGCACAGCATTTGACAAAACAATCAATAATGATGAAGAAATTGAATATCCTCAACATGTTTACGACTTAATTGCTAAAAGCAAACCTCATTATGAATACCTGCTTCAACATAGAATTAAAATTTAGTACCATCTTGTATGCCGGGGGTGATTGATCGACAAATATCCATAGTAAAAACAATTAGTCAATTTTTTTAATATGATCATCACATATTAATATCACTTTTCATTAAGAATTTATTATACAAAAGTGATAGATTTTTAAAATCTAACTCCTCTCGCGGTATTAATTCTTCGAACTTAAAAATAATATAAACCAAATTTAAAAAGTGTGCTTTTTAACTTATCGTGAGGATTTTTACTTTTGTGTTTAAAATTTTAATTTTTATATATGTATCTATATAATCTAAAAGAGCTAATTTGTAAATAACTCGCTTAATAACTTAGATATTAAAAATTTGACGCGATAGTTTAAAGTACTAATGACAACGCATAGACTAATGATTTACTTTTTCAAAATTCTGAATATTCGTCGAGGAGAAGCAATTTTAAGAAATATGTAGCAATATGTCAGCACCACACTAATAACCAGCAAAACACACGTATATACACGCTATTTGATTGGTTCAATAACCATTAAAACAGTAGAATACGGGTGACTAGATTATTTAAACAATACATGATAAATCAGCCAATTGTATTATTTAAAAAAATTCACTATACAAATCTACTATGGGTCTACAAATCGGTTTGAATTAAATTAGCCGACCAAACACCCCATCTTGTATGCCCATAGATTATTTATATTATCTGTCCATAATGTTTTGCAACTAAAATCTAGAATTATCTGAAAATTCTAAATTTCTACAATAAGAAATCTTATACTCCCTTTTATTCTTAGCGAAGTTACATAATTCACCATAATTGGACTTTTTTTTGTATATAGTATTTGGCAAGCAATATCTTTTATATTTATACCTCAAAGCATTAATAAAAACAAACAAAAAATCTAAACAAAAAAATTGAACTGGAATTCAGTTAATTAAATTTTAAACTAAGATAATTTAACTTTCATCCATTAAATTTTTGTATGTATGGTTCTGGATATTTAACTCGAATAAAAGTACACAATTCAAATTTTAATTGTGAATTTTTTCTTAGAAATTAAATTTTTTGCTTTTTATTGGAGACCCGAATAAGTTAATTATAATTCAGATCTCAAATCAAATACATTAGCGCAAAAAAAAAAAAACTGCTGTTAATATATTGAAGTTAGTTAATTATTTCATTTGATTTAATTTTTTTTTTTTTTTTAGAGAATTCAAATACAAATACCATATGTTATATTCATTTATATTAAATTAATTTGAGTCGGCGTAATTGAATATATGTAACAATACAAAATATGGCTGGCGAACGTGTATAATACATTAAAAAAAAATTTTAAATTTTCACTATAGGGGACCTTAATAGCTTTAAGTTGAAGGTCCACGCTCACTTCATTCACCAACTTCTCTGCATTATTCCTTGCATTTATCTTCCAAACATTTTCTTAATTGGCCATATGGTAGTGCCAAAATGTGACATTACTTTACTGTGCAATAATTAATTTGGGCCTAACATTAGATATAAAAATCAATCACATGATCAACTTGATTTATTTGAGGGATTATATGATATAAGCAAAAAGGATTGGAAAATAGAAAAAAAATAACGGTCAAATATCTACAGATCCAAATTTATTTCAGAATATTTAAATTGTTAAACTAAAAAGGAATCAAAATCATATGCAACTGGAAAAGATTAATTTCTCTGAAGCCTAACTAAACATCGTTTTTCGTTTTTTGTATAACTGGCGTATTAAATGTTAGAATGTTATTCTCATCACTTTCATAATTTTCATATCCATAACTACTTTCACTTCCTTCATACTCTTCCGCATCTTTATCGCTTTCATAATTTTCATAATTTTCACATCCATCACTATTTTCATCATTCTCTTCCGCTTCGTCTCATATTTTGTGCTTTTTGCTTTATGAAATAACCTTATGTTTACTAAAGTTTCCTCTAGCAGACTTTTAAAGGTGTGCAAAACTTTAATTAGTTCTAATAAATCTGAATCCTTTTTAAATGGGATTTCAATACTTGCTAATCTTCTCATTCGGAACATTGGTATAAATTTTTTATCGACAATTAAAAATTCCAACTTTGTCCCTAAATGAAAATCATTAGATCTTTAAATAGAAATTTCATAAATTTATTATAATTTTACTAACCATGCGAATGCAACAAATAGATTTTCAAATTCGTGGGATTAAAATTTGGAGATTTGGAGTAAGTTCTTGATATACTATCAAATGAATCCTTTGCTCCTTTACTTAACTTAATTCTATCTTTAATTGAATGTTTTTTTGTTTCATCTAGAGGCCCATAAGATATCTCACCAAGAATAAATTCTAAATCATAGCTTTCATTTTTACACACACCAAATATATCGTACTTTTTAATAGGACCTTTAGTTATGGCATCCCTGTCAAAAAAAAAAAAAATTAATTATGATAATTTTGTTACTAACTTATAGATAAATTAAATCATTAAATTACCATCGTATTAAGATCTCTGACTCTAAATCATATTCAATAAAATCGATAATAGGCTTCAATATATTATGTCCCCAAGTGGATTCATTTATATTTGGTCGACATTTTTGGTATTTAGGATTTTTCCATAATCTTAGCCTTTACATTTTAAATTAAGATTAATAGAAAAATAATTATTAAAACATTGACAAATATATTTATCTTACATTGAATCAACTAGATTTTTAATTCTAACAAACAAAGACGTATGTTCTTTTGGAATTTTAATGTTTTTACTTTTGATACACTTCATAACAAATTGTTCTACATTGTTCGGTAGTGATAAAAACTCTATTGGTTCCTTGACTATTTTCCATAATTCCTTCTTTTGCAAAGTTTTCATAATTGGAGATTTTTCACTTATCAGAGTAGGAACACCAATATTCCAGAGAGAATCAAATTATTAGGGCTTAATGACATTATTTGTAAAGTTTCAGCCACAGCCTTCACAACATCGTTTACATTCTTGAATTGTAGCTAATTTAATAATAATGTTAATTTAGTTATCATTTAGATCAAAAAAGGTCGCAAAAATTTTTTACATTTATGATCCGATTCTTTGCTTCTATAAGTCGTAGAGGGTCGTATACTGAAATGTTTAAAAGTTCGTACCATCCCAGATTTTTAACACAATCTTCAATATATCTACCATATTTTACATATGAATTTTTAATATGGGCTTCGATCAAATTTATTAAGAATTTGAAATCGTGCTAAAAAAAACAAACATATTAGTTATATTTCTGCAATTTATATTTATTAGCCATTAAATATAAATATTTCAGTAATGACGTAATGAGTCCTAAAGAATTATTAGGCCTCACAACAAGAAGTAATTGTCCAAAGAATTACAGTATACTAAATAGGCCTCACATCAAGAGTGTTCATCCAAATAATTTATACTTATGCTAAGGAGTTTTAATCTATAGCCTATTACTCTTATGTAAGGGGTTTTAAGATAGTATGATTCTTATGCGAGGGTTTGAATTCTAGAGCATCATTTGACATTCAAATAATCATAATTTAAAGCCGGGCATTGTAATGAAAAAACTATCATACTTGCCGTGAATTCTTTGTTTTGTAATGTTATTGTTTTTGCATATTCTTTGTTTAAATTTCGTTTTATTTCTGTAATCATTTTTTTCAGATCGATTTTATCTGTAATAGCATTGAAAATATAAAACGTGTATAAACTAGGACTGAAGTTTTTTTCTTTGATAAAATTGAAATAATTTTTCATGTCTAACGCGCGTAAATACTGAAATAGGAATAAATAAACAAATCGGGGTATTTATCAAAAATTTTCTGCCACATGATTATTAATATTAAAGGTAGGGTGTATGTAGATCATTTTTCATATGATCTACGTGAAAAGCCTGTCAACGAAGTGACAGGGCGATCATTATTGCGAAATCAGATGACTTTATGACCAGTTATGTTCCGGGTTTTTTATGTATCCTTTTATGGTAGTTCTTTGATTATTGTTATGATTTTTTGTAACTTTTATTTACAAGTAATTCGGAATTGGCATATGAATTTTGAAATTCACATTGTTGTGAGTATTGTTAGTTCAGTGGCAGGGGTAAGGGATATTGGCGATAATCAAGGACGAATCAGTGATATGAAAAGGGTGAGTATTTAAAGTAGATAGTCTCAGTGAAGAAGGATATCTTTCTTTTCGCTATTGCTCGCCTTGTGAAGGCTGGCTCTATCGCCCTCCCTTACCCTCCTGAAGTCAAGCAAGCAATGTCGTTTTTGTTATATCAGGCTCCACGGCTGCAGTAGCAGTGCAAGGACCGTTTAGGTATCTGGCTCCACGGCTGCTAGTTGCAGTGCAAGGACCAGTTTATTTATTGGCTCCGTGGCTGAAAGTGCAAGGACCATAATAAGAATGAAAACCTGCCTATATTGGCATGAACGTATATACCGATGCTCTTTACAGCTATAGAAGAGTGACATTTTCTCTCTATATGAAAGCATTCGGATCCATGAGTTGTTTGGAATTGACCCTTCGTTTGTGGGACATGTGAAGCATTATTGGTGCTTCGTTGGTGGGACATGTGAAGCATTGTTGGTGCTTCCTTTGTTTATTGTTGATAAGTCTATGTTTCTGTAATTATGTATTTGGGTTACGAATATTAGAGCCACTGAGGGTAGTGAGCCCTTATCCCATATGTTCTTCAGATTTGTTAAATAAAGTCACACAATTTGTTTGAATAAAGTCAGATGATTGAGCAATAATAATGGTACGTATATTGCAATGTTAGATGTGCGGGTGACTTCGTCACCCGCTCGTGATTTTCAGGTTGAATTGTTACTTGATTAATATTTTTTAATTGATAGTATTAAGTAATAATTTTAATTATAGCTATTTTCATAGCTCCTGGAACACCTGATAGAAATTAGACGAATGATTTTTCAGCCGATTTGATTAAGTTTGTAATTTCAGCACAATTCATATAATAAAAAACTATTTCTGTATCATAATTGTTTTATTGGTCATTGTTAACATTATTAAGTTTTTGTTCGAATGCTTATCCAACATGTTTAGTGTGTCAATAATTCTTAACAAGAAATATAAAAAAGGCACTATATATTAATTAGATTTTTATAATAAACATATACAAATTTGAGTACATGTCAAAAGATCCCATATATAAATAAAATTTTATTCTTATTTGTATATACAAATTGGTTCAAATTGTCATAAGACTAATTTTTACAGTTAACCAAGTTTCATCTCAGATTGTAATTCATAAAATATTAATCAGGTTTTTTTATTAATATCTTGTATCGTTCATATATTCAGTAAACGTAATTCTTCTGAAAGTGACAGAAGCTTTTCAATACATCCATATCTTAGAAAAATGCTTGAGAACTCGACTTATAAAATATATGCCAACACCTAAGTGTTTGATTATTTTCTAGTGAAGATGCTTTAAGAGTATTATATGGGGTCTGTTCCTTGAAAATGACCTTACGGGACATAGTAAATCATATGATCAAAACTTGATTTTCAAGGAACAGACCCCATATTTCTGTATTTAACTCGAGATATGTATGAATTTATATCTTAAATTACATATATATATAAGGTGAAGGGAGGTATTCTGGCAGAGTTAAAATTTATCAAAATTTACTTATAATAAAACTTTAATAAAATATTACTAATTACAGTTTTTATTTCAAAATGACATATCCTTATCTAATTGATTCTAATATAAAAAAAAAAAAAATCAAGTTGACTTGTGTTTGCACAATTTTTATTAGTGCGAAGTAGCTTCAACGGTCGGGAGGGTAAAATAGTGGATCGATAAGCAACAATACATATATATTATGACAATCAGCTGAAATATTACTCGCTTCCTGTTAAAGCGCATAAGGTGAATAACAGATAACAGAATAGAGAATGAATAATTAATAGTTAATTCTATTTTGTTGACAATAAAATATAATGTTTATTTATATATATATGAATAAAATTCAACACTTACTCTCTGTTGATTTAACATATAGATAAAACAGATAAGGCCACTAAAGGCACTGAATAGGTGGTGAAATAATGTTGGATATTGTTATGGTATCGAAACAGTCACTAGTAAAGCCCAGCTTGAGAAGGAAATGACAGAATTTTTCTGTGGTGTACGAAAAATTCAAGATGGAAGTGATTATAGTCCCTCTTCATTAGTTAACGCTTATAATTCTTTAAACAATTATAAAAAAAAACAATTCAAAAAAAAAAATTCTGGTCTAATAAGTTTTCATGCAACTAGGACAATTTAAAAAAAAAATTCTGGCCTAATAAGTCTTCGCGCAACTAAGACAATTCAAAAAAAAAAAATCTGGTCTAATAAGTCTAGGACAATTTGAAAAAAATTCTGGCCTAATAAGTCTTCGCACAACTAAGACAATTCAAAAAAAAAAAAATTCTGGCCTAATAAGTCTTCGCGCAACTAAGACAATTAAAAAAAAAAATTCTGGCCTAATAAATCTTCGCGCAACTAGGACAATTTAAAAAAAAATTCTGTCCTAATAAGTTTTGCGCAACAATTTTAAAAAAATCACTATAATGTATAATCATAAAATATAAATATGACGTATCATAAAATACAGAAATTACTATGAAATAACTAATTTATATATGAAACTGATCATAGTAAAAAAATAATAATATTTGTAACCCAAAGAGAATTTGAACAGAAACTCTGACTGATCGCATAAAAATTAAAGTATTAGGCATAATCTGTCACAGATTCAGTCTGTACTATAGCTTATTAATAATGGTTTACAATCACTATTAATAAAATCAATACATAAAAGAGTATCTTCTAGATCTTGTAGGTGTCTTTCTATGTGGTTTTTGTAAGCGTCTTTTAAGTATTTTAAAGCACGTTCTTCATCTTTTTTGACACCTTGCCCATATAAAAGGCAATTTGCCATCCAAAATTTGGCAACATATTTATATTTGGTTTCACTTTTACTTAATTCTGATAAGAGATTCCATTCATTAGTATATTCTCTTCTCATATGAAATTTTTCTGCCTTTTTAAGCATGTATAAATCTTTAAAATTTTCATCAATTTTGTGAGTTTTTTCTTCGTAATATTCCTCTAAAATAGTCAGATTAATTCAGGATTGAAAAATTCAAAAGTGATCATCCCGATTCATAAGTTAATAATTATAACAAATGAATTGATCGATCGGTGATATTGATCTTGGTTAGCGATGGGACTTACAAAGGAGATTCTTGCAAACTTTTTCAAATTTTGGGGTAGTTTATAAATGCGCCGCAATAGTGATGAGACTTAAAAATTAAAAATTCAAATATCATATCCGTAATCTATTGAAAAAATATTATTGTAATTTCATAAATTATAAATGCGACAAATATTTTGTATTGTTAGTGCCATCACTAGACGATTGTATAATTTTTAAGAATCAATTGCTTCTTTAAATTGTTATTCCTGAGAATTATTTGAATTTAATCAGTTAATTTGAGATCTTAATTTAGAATACTTAACAATACAAAGTATGACATGTTGTTGCCTAGCAAACCCATACTTAGAACATATAAAATATATATACACTAAGCATGGTTTTGCTAGGCAACAACACATATTGTATAAATTAAAAAATAATTAAATATAAAAAATTCACAAATTGTAAATAACTTAAAACTGGAAAATGTCAAATAATTCTTCTAGCTGTGAAAGTGATTTAGAAAATCCTATTGTGCTAAATGTTAATTTAGATGCTTTAAAAAAGTCAGCATCAAGTGTATTTCAAGTACAATGTACTTCTATACAAGAATTTAACGAAGGTGGTTTTCATAAAGTATACATCTTAAATATGGAAGATGGTAAAGAATATATTGGAAGAGTAGCATTTCCTGTATATCCACAGTGGAAGACAGAAAGTGAAGTGGCAGTTATGAAGTATATTCGTTTAAATACGAACATACCTGTTCCCAAAGTTTATTATTGGAATAGTTTTGTCAAAAATCCAGTAGGAGCAGAATATATTTTAATGGAACATTTACCTGGCATTCGTCTTTGTGACATCTGGAGTGACCTCACCATAGAAAAAAAAAAGTTGTTTCTTTTAAAAATTATTAACATTCTACTGGAACTTAAAAAGCTCACGTTTTCAAAAATTGGTAGTATCTTTTTTGATGATAAAAATGATCGATTTAAAATTGGACAGGTGATTGAAAGTAACTTTTTTACTGGTAAACGAGCAATATACCCAATAAACAAATCAAACCAAGATAATTCGAATCAGAATACCAATCAATGTTAACATTATTTAAACAAGAAAAGCTGCCATAGTTAACGAATGAATACCACTTCCACGTTGAAATCGCAATTCTTGAAATCAATACTGCATCTTTTATTACCCTTTTGTTGGGCAATAAAGTTACCAATGCACCAGGACCAAATATAAAGAAATTAGTTCTGTAGACATTTGCCACGTCTTCATGGCTGTAAAATGTAAAAAAAATTAACAATATGAAGCAAAGCAAAAATAATGAAAGAAATAGAATTTACAGTAACAAAGGTCTAATTGATAATCCAAATATAAATTTAGATACCTAAATGCAAAAAAAAATGCGAATTTAGCTAAAAAAAAAAAAGACAATTTTTCTAAAGTAATATTATAAATTTAAAATTAAACCTACACTAGAAATAATAGCTAAGGAAAAAATAACACCGCAAAAACTTGAGAAGACTATGAACAAATGGTATCGTATAGCATTTTCTTGATTTGAAAGTTGCGTACTCATATTTCTAAAAGTTAGAATTCAAACCTGAATAAGTTTCTAATTATTTTATATGTACTCGGTAAGAATTATTCATTATATATATATATATATAACCGAAACTAAAATATATTGCAGATCTTATATATTTTAAAACTGAAAAATATAACGATAAGTTTTAATTATATAAACTATACTAGAGTTATGATCCGTTATCCATTTTCCTATTTAAAAATTGTGGATATCCGGATTTTTTTATAATTAACGAATATCGCATCTTTAAACTATACTATTGCAGATCCTATATATTTTAAAACTCGTTTTTTAAATAATTGCTATATATCGATATGCGAGCTTTTAATTGTACACGAACTGAAATCTAGAATTCAAAGTAAAAAATCAAATAAAATGTTTGTACTCTAGTTATCTATTATACTTCTTATATATCGAAAAAAATATTATATAACATACTATATAGTCAGATTAATTCATTGTTCATGTGCCTTTTATATTCATATAACAAATAGTAAATTGTTGATCTTTTAAATATATTACAGTATTATACGTTTTTAATCTTGTTATATGAGATACAATATATCATATTAATATGCAGATTTTTAAAATTTAATTTTTCAGAATTCTTGTTTAATAGTGTAATTCAAATTTTTACATAATGTATATTAGACTGAAATTTTATAAATTGGTGTTGTTTATTACCTTTTTCCTATATCTTTTTTAAAGAAAGATCGATATAATGAATTCTAATAATCTCATTCAATTTTTGGTTGCAAACCCAAGTAAGAATATAAAATAAATTTTATTTTTATTAACGCGACTTATGTAATGGACGCGTTTAATTTGAATAGCATGTTTAAAGCTTTAATTCATGACAAAGCCAATGAGTTAACATATTCTTCCCTGCACTCTAGAAGTATCAGTTTATGATGCTTTGAATTTTGCTCATTTGCAAAGGTAAAAATCCTTAAAATATTGTGAAAATTATTCGAAAGAATCTAATCCGAACATATATGGTATCACCATTTACAGTATTAATTCGGTCGATAATGATTTTATTCTATATGATATTGATAGGTATGAATAATCCTTCATTGTTTGTTCTAAATTATAGAAAACCTTTAATAATTTCATCCTACTTTATGTCAAGACCGATTGGAGATATGCAACTTGATAAATGTACAGAACACTGGCCTTATAATGCTACTATTGTTTATTCTTCAACACCGGATCATATCGATGCACAATTGAATATTTCTGAATTTATTGATGATGATATAATCAGGTATTAATCAGGCTTTTCCTTATAATGATATTATTTGGCATAGTAATTACATGTCCCATAAGATCATTTTCAAGACAAAAATCTAATTTACTTTTTTGAATTAACTAATAAAGAAATTATATCTATCTCAACATAAATTTACTTAGAAATGATATTCCTGTTAAAAAAAAAAGGTCTAAAAATACTGACATGAAAGAATATAGAAATATTAAAGCAGGAGAAGAGAAAAAAAGACATGAAACAATTGCTCAAGGTTTTATTATGCTTAAAGAACAACTCCCGGCCACTTACTCTAAAAAGGGTAATGCAAAATTATTGAAAAAAGGTGAATCGCTTTTTAATATTGTAACTATGAAATAACAGATCTACTAAACTAAATAATCCTTCTTATAGCTGCTTTATACATAGTACAAAGAGAAAAAGGATTGGAAAAACTTCAACTTAAATTAAATCAACTGAAAAAAACTTGCGACAATTTGAATACAGAATTGGAATTCTTTAAAAGTAAGTATTTTTAAAGTTTTTAAGTTTGTCTTAGAACATTTATTAAACTTTAATTTTAAAATTAATAAGGGAAGAACAAATACCAAAGGGAAATATATGCCATGACTTAAAAACCAGATTGCTCTCTTCATCTCAATTTTTTTTACTTCTTTTCACTCTTCATTTATCAAATTAATTGATAACGGTTCTTTTTTAAGAAGGATCCATTCAGGCATTTAAATATCTTCAGCAAGTTATTTGACCAGCCTCCACCTCACTTCTAAAATGCAAAAAATAACTGTGTTAGCTAATTTTCTTTAATTTGTCTAACTTTTTTTTTGATATTATCGACTTGACTGTTTTTAATTTAGTTTTTATTTGAGGAGTATCTTTTTTGCTTTACTAAAATAAAATGCCAGTACAGTCAGACCTCTCTAAATGCACCCTCTATAAGTGCACACCCTCTCTAAATGCACGCTCAAGTGCCAGCCCAAATATATACCTGACCTCCATAAATGCATTTTTCTTAATATTCTCTATATGCACGTTATTAAAGTGTGGTCCCAAGGGCGTGCACTTAGAGAGGTCTTACTGTATATAGAAATTTGAACTACAGATATATAATAATTAAATTCAGGTTAAAGTTTTGAAGCATATTTTAAGATATTTTTCCTATTGGTCAAATTGAAGAGAATCAAAACAACGTAAATTACAATATTGATTAAATAAATTAGATCAGAGAATTTTTCGAGTATTTTTCTTAAGTGTTAATATCGTTATTTAAAATCCAAAAGATCACATGATTCTGCGGACCCATGGGATAGAGTGTCCAGGATTATGCGAAAGCATAATATGCGTATGATTTACCAATTTTTCGCATTGCATATGCTTCGCATAATCGGGCAAAAAAAAGCATAAATCATGTGAATAGAATATGATTGGTTGTTGAAGTATGTTAACTTCATTCAAAGTTTCGATGCAGAAAATAAACGAGTTTAATTGGACTGACGATCTGCATAATCTTTTTTTTTTCACCGCGAGTTAATAAAGGAATCACTTCAGCTTCGTCATAATTCACAGAACTCATTTTAGAATCCATATATTCCCTTTTAATGATAAAGAATTTCCATAAAATACGGCGAATATAAAAGTGGCTATCCCTAGAGTATTCACGGACTCACGGGCTAAAAAAATTATGCAGACCGTCATGGTTGAGGTAAAATTTTAGGCAAATGCCCGAAAAATTTCGAAGAATAGAACTAATTACATATAGCGTACACAATAATAAAAATCGCATAATCGATCGCATAATTTTAAATTTATTTCGCATCCATTGCATAATTAACCTCAGTTCGCCCGCATAATTTACCTCATCGCATCGCATAATCCTGGACACCCTACCATGGAACTGCAGAATCATATGACCACGTATTATACATTCGACATCAAAATTGTAAATACATATGATTTTTAATTTTTTTGCCATTAAAGATAGCGGAATAATTGCTTCTAGTGACATTTATTATTAAAGAATTTAAAGTTCAATTAAAAAGTTTAATAATGATTAAACATTATACATACATAAATTGAATTTTGATATTTCAATATTTAATTGAGAAATTGAACTTTTATAACTATTAATTGATTTAGCTAGAATTTTAGTATCTGATTTGATTTTTCACTGAACTGTACTAACGTTATTT